AAGGAATATTTATAAATGGACACAAAATTGTCAAGGTTAGCAACACCAAATTTCTTGGTGTAGTAATTGATGAAAAACTTAGCTGGGGCCCACATATAGAATATCTAAGAAAAAAAATTAGATCCACTACAGGAGCACTTAACAGGATTAAACATTCAGTTCCAGGGGAACACTACCAAAAAATATACTCTGCATTATTGGAATCACATCTTGCTTACGGAATAAGTGTTTGGGGCTCAGCCCTCAAAGACCAACCAAACGATAAGCTGTTCATAACTCAGAAACGTTGTATAAGAATCCTTTTTGGAGACCTAAATGCATACCTTGACAAACATGCCACTTGTGCACGAGCCAGACCTTATACAAAACAAAGGTTAGGAGCTGCTTTTTTCGAAAAGGAGCACACCAAGCCCATTTTTAATCGACTAAAATTGCTTACTGTTCAAAACTTGTACAAATACCGCTGTATATCTGAGATATTTCGAATTATGAAATTTCGCACTCCATACTCGTTGTATTGTACTATAGACTCATCAAAACGTGATACAAGTAATGTCATAATCCTCCCAAGAAAATCCAACACGTTTCTTTATATAGCCTCCAAATTGTGGAATAGCATACATAAACGGATTCTAAATGAGAATGGGGAAATCCTCACTACTTCTGTATCTTTGGTTAAATTACGCTGTAAAAGTATCATCCTGGGATCCCAATCCATCAACAATAATAACACCTGGACTTACCACAACTTTCACATCGCCCCTCACTCAGTCACAGACCAAACCAGTTCATCACTCACTCACCAAATTGCCGACCCAATATCTATTGAAGTGGCGAAAATTTTATAGACAAATGACATATCGATATTATTGCTGCAGCAGATACAAATACCAACATTATTATATTCCCAAACGTTTGAACCATTAAATTAACTAGGAAATTCAATCCTCAACTTAACATTTACTGTTTTAAACTGATATGATGATATTAACTTAACTTATTATTATTTTTTACATACTCCTTCTTAGTGTGGTGACTTGGGGTCCATAAATATAACAATACAAGCTGATAAACCAAAAAGAACAACTGGGGTAGGTAGGTAGCCCTGGTGGGTGCGTAAACTTTACGGTCTGCTCTCTCCAAGATCAGCCTGCTTCTCCATTTTACCGTGAAGCCTAATTTCTAGTTTTTATAAATACAATGCAAGTGCAGGTTTACTAATCTTAATCTACTTAACAACTCAATAGCCCAAGTCACCATACCCGTAGTATATTCCATGGTAATAGAAGAACTTTAAAGTTATTCAAATTGTTGCTATAATTGATTTAAATAAAAAATTGTTGTTTTTCTTGAAAAAAAATTGTTGTTTTCTTGAAAATTGTTGTTTTCTTGAGACCAAGCCAGGCTGGACATTTCTGCAAGATCGATTTGGAATGCTTCAGAGAGGGCATTTTTTGATGTAAGGGTATTTCATGCCCCAGCCCCCTCCAATGCATGCAAACCGATACCAGCAATGTACCTGTCCCATGAAAATGAGAAAAAGCGATGTTACAATGCAAGGGTTCTTGAAGTGGAGAAAGGAAGCTTCACACCTTTAGTGTTCTCGACTTCTGGTGGAATGGGTGGTGAAGCTGAGAGACTGGTCAAGAAGCTGGCCAGTAAGATGGAGTACCACACTGGCCAGAGATACTCAGACGCCGTAGGATACATAAGAAAGCGCCTTCGCTTTGAAATTCTCAGAACAACAGTGATTTCTCTCCGTGGAGACAGAGGTGCGAGAAAAAACATTGTTGATATAAACAGTGTAGATCTTAACTTGGAGCCACAAGGCCAAGGGTAATTTTTAATTGTTAAGGGAATTTTTTGAATTCTTAAAGGGTTGATTTTATATAGGGTCATTGCTATATTATTATGTGTATATTGTTTGAATAATTTTACTACAAAGATAAAAAATATCTAGGGGGTTGCTAGCCACAACATAAAAACTAGTTTTTACTGTTTTTTAGTTTACCATTTATATATTACAAAGGGTTTTATTTTTACCTCAGTTTTTAAAATTTGTACCATTTTTATAGCATTTAATCTATTGTATTGGTTTATTCATTTTTCGAGCGTGTCTATCCTTATAGCTAGACAATAACTAATAACTATTGCTGAAATTATCTGTATGCTGTTCGAAGCATTTATATATATTTTTGTTTCTAGTGCCCCTCAGTTCATATTTTAATTCTACTCTATGTATTTAAAGTGGATCATAACTGGAACAACCTGTTGTAACAGGTGGTTCGAATTCAACCCTGATGAAAATCTTATACAGCTTGCTTGCTTCTGTTAAAGAATGACCTGCATTGTTTGCAAAGTTTTAATTTCTTGTGCAGTATTTTTTCATATGCAATTCCGGTAAATGATGAAACATGTCTCTTCTGAGAGTGATACCGTGAGTTGCTTCCTTTTTTTTTTTTTTTTACTTAAGTATTTTTTCATATGAACGTAAACACATGCTCGTTCGAGTTGCGTATATCACACAAATCTTTCCATTGCACTTGGTTTCCTGCAGAATTTTATCTTCAACTTTAACATTACCTGCATCCTGTATTCTCGGGTCGCCCTCGTAAACTTTCCCTAGGTCTCCACACAGGTGAAAGCTAGTTTTGAAAGCAAATTATTAGTCACTATTCTGATCACCCAGTTGCTGTCATCAATTTTTCTTCTATGTTGTTCAGTTTAGAGTAAGTTGACCTATTTAAGTAAGTAGGGAGTGTTCCTCTGTCTGGACTGTCACTGTTTAACTAAAAAGTCATTGATATTTTGAGAATGATGTCTTTCCTTCGAATGTCTTTTCTTAAGCACTTCGTGGAGACATCAGAAACTGTCGCTAAAATTATCCCACGTATCCTCATTTTCCAGACAGCAAAAATAGTTCTAAAGAGCAGGTTGTGCTCTTCCACCTTCAAATCAAATCAGATCAAGAATAGTGACTTAAACATCATCACTACTTTTAAAACCTTAAGCCATCTGCATCACGGGGTGTCTGATTGCACTTTCAATAGAAGATTTCAGTAAAACAAAACCTTTTTTGGCAAAACATGATTTGTTGATATCTGATTGTTTGCTGTAGTAAAAATTGTGTTTCTGCTCTTTTAAAAGACCATATTGCATTTGTACCGTTGTTCAATATTTCGTTTACTAATCAGTAACCTTGAAGATCCTCCTTGATCTATCTTGATGTAAGGTGTTCTAGCTTTGTGTATTAGAAGCCCTCTCCCTAAATTGATTACGAGTAACTATTTTGCTTAAACTTGAGAGTTACTATTTTGCTTAAACTTGAGAAATAGCTCGTAGTGAGAAAAAGAAGTTTGTGTAAAAACATCATCCAAATCTTATTCTTGCAGAGTATTGAAGTTTGTTCAGGTCAAATTATGCGGTAAATTGTTTTTATCCAGAAATGCAACTGAAAAAATAACATTAAAAAAGTTTGCAATCGACAAAATAGATCAAAATTTGGCAGTAATATTGTAAATCCTCTCCACATCCAATACCATTTTACCAAGAATTGTCCTCTATTGACAAAGCTAGTGGTAACATAATTGGTCAAGAGCATAATTGAGGCAGATTATTCAATATTATAAACCCCTCCGGGATAGAATAAGATTCTGATAATCCCGGCTCCCGCTAAATAGATTCTGATAATCCCGGCTCCCGCTGTTAGTTTTTTCCCGCTGAATAAATAACCCCGGCACAGCTTTTATAATCCCGCCCGCTAATTTGGCTCAACAAGATTTGTTTTGTTTTGATATTCCATGAGAATTTCAACCGCGTACTGTCACGTGTTTTGATGACGTGTATCACGTGACTAACTACTACGACGCGCATTGGTAAAAAATGTCACGTGACCTATGGCTTAACGTAAGAACTATAAATACACTCGATCTACGTATCGGTCTAATTGCAGGCGCTGGCAAAACTCCAGCACACTACATTACTTAAACTCTCACATTAATTGGACCAGTTCCAAAACTTGTCTCGACGGTTACATTTGATTTTGTCCGGTTCGGTTAATTTTGTCGAGTTTGATATAAGCCATGTATTATAGTCGTCTACTTTGATGAACTTCATGACACGATATCATTATTAGCTTTTATCGCTTGCCAGGCTTAACTCGACGCCCCTTATCGATATTCATATTCATTCAACGTTCTGACTGAGGAATAGTGTTTAGATATAACGCCAATTTCAAAAGTCATAGTACCTTAGTTGTATTTATTTGGAAGTCCCCAATTTATTTCATATTTTCCATAATGATCTCATATAGCTAGAATTAAGAGTAAAATGTCAAATTTGTTGGTCCTAGCACTAACCCGGAGGGGTTTATAACACATAACACCGGCACGCTTAAGTTATATTAAAATAACCCCTCGTGCTAAAGCACGTCGGCGTTATTTTCATAATAATCCCTGGTGCTCTGCACTCGAAATTATTATAAATTTTTCCCGCGCGTCGCGGGAAAAATTGAAATGTAATCCCTGCGCATGCCGGGGTTATGTGTGTTGTAACTTCACAACATTAGATTCCAACACATTGTGTGTATAAGCAAACTACAATATCTTCTAATTATAACTATAATAACATATCTATTATCTAATCGTGATTAAAGTGACTAAATTTCAATCTGTTGCGGACCATGGGTTATGTTCCAGCTTGATGAGCTATTCATTTGCCAAGATTTACCCCCTTATGTTTATTTAATCAAATGTCGATAATATTGAAAGTTGCTGCATTATCAACTTGCCATCTGAGTTTTTCCTGATTTTTAAAAGTAATTCCTATTTCTTATGTTACGTCATGAAAAACGTTTGACCCACACTTCTGTTCCACCTGCACATATCATGTAATTAATTATATACTTTTCTGTCAGTTCATTCTTAAATTTATTTAATATTTAGTGGGCTATGATAAAGATTACAATTGTGTTCTTAATTGATGTTTAACTTCATTTTCCCGGACTAGAATGAAATTCCGATCACATCTAGCTATATTCAACCTTCTAGCAATCCTAGGTAAGCAATTTCCCCATTTTAAAATACTTTTTATGGGTGGGCGACAATTGACCCCCCGACAATTGACCCCCCGACAATTGACCCCCCGACAATTGACCCCCGACAATTGACCCCCTGACAATTGACCCCCCGACAATTGACCCCCGACAATTGACCCCCGACAATATAATTTAATACAATTAACCCTGACCCTGACCCTGACCCTGACCCTGACCCTGACCCTGACCCTGACCCTGACCCTGACCCTGACCCTGACCCTGACCCTGACCCTGACCCTAACCCTAACCCTAACCCTAACCCTGACACAGGACCCTAACCCTGACCCAGGACCCTGACCCTGACTTTAACCCTAACCCTAACCCTAACCCGATCAATTGACCCTAGTCTAATTACATTGGGGGGTCAATTGTCGGGGGGTCAATTGTCGGGGGGTCAATTGTCGTACTAAGTCCTAGATTTCGCGACAATTGACCCCAGTGTTACTACATAAGGGTCAATTGTCGGGGGGTCAATTGTCGGAGGGTCAATTGTCGGGGGGTCAATTGTCGGGGGGTCAATTGTCGTACTAAACCCTAGATTTTGCGACAATTGACCCCAGTGTAATTACATAGGGGGTCAATTGTCGGGGGGTCAATTGTCGGGGGGTCAATTGTCGCGGTACCCTTTTTATGTCTTGCATATTTTTTGATCAGATTATCAAAAACAATTTCCATCCTATACTAATTTAATTTACAATTCGTTTGATTTTTGACATGTGATATTCCTAACGATCGAAAACACATATTTTCTAAAATTATGCCTATCGCATGGTAATGGCCGAATAAAATTCGATAACGTATGAAAACAGCTCTGCTGCGAACCACGCTTTTTAAACGTCGTCTAAAAGTCCGTCCTCGCTCTCAAATAGCTACTATCAGTTATACTAACACGGAGCATTATATAGATTCTGGTTGAGGAAGTTAACATGTTAACATGTTGAGGAAGTTAACATGTTAATTGTAACATTGTGGGTCTCCTCCCACAAGGTAGCACCTCGTTACAACAATAAACACCTCCCTCCTACATTTAAAACTCGTTATATTGTGTCAAAGTGTGTTCTGCGCTGTGGGGGGATGTTATTGGGGGTCTATTATACTGCGAACAGTGAACATTATTGGTGATAATTTCCTTTTGGTTGAAACATTGTGTTGAATTTTAGAAAACAATGCTTGTACAATGTACATACCTCCCATTATAACGAGGATAACAAGTATACATGGTGCAATGTACACGTGATGTTTAACCCTTCTGCCCTAATTGATACTTATAAAAGTAACTCTAAGTGTATGTCTAATGTCTAGCTATACAGGAGGAGGACACGCCTAGGTTCTGTATTTTTAACAATCTGTAAGCAGCTCAACGTGACCTCATGTCTCCTGGAATAGCAGGGTTAGACATGAGCCTTGCATTTCCTGCCCCCTCTCTCTCTCTGGCGGCTTCTGATTGGGCGGAATGGGTCACGTGGGGTGATCTGAGGCTTCCTATTGGTTCACCCCTCTTGGGGCACTGGTACCGGATAATGGTGTAATCTATTGGGTTAATGTGAAAACTTGGAGCTTCTTACATTTCGAGTAGGATGTTAATGTTGCAACATCCAGATATTATTATCTGAATTTTTCCAATTCCAGATAATTGTAACAGAGCTGTGAGCAGACTACTAAATTTTAAATTTAATTAGTAAACTACCTGCTCACTGGTTAGGCAATTAGCCAGGATCAGTCTGTCAGTGAAACTGATATTATCAGGAATCGGTGTCAGTTAGGCTCCCTAATTAGTCTACAAGTATTCTTTAAATGGAGATCTTGTGAGCTTGTCAGGAGTATTTAATCAATCATTTAATTAGCTTAATTAGGATTAATTAGAACCATCTCCACCGGCAATATATGCATTGTATCCGCTAACGTTACTTGATTATGGATTTTATTGTATAACATGATATACTGACTGAATCACGTCACATCTTCAGGTTTGAAGAAATATCTCAATTTTTTTGACAACATGAAAACAAAAGGTATTGATCACAGACACCACAACTTGCTGACGTACAATAGTGATGCAGTTATTACATACTTTAGTTGAAACCGATCAATGAAATGGAGCTTATTTTATGTCACTTCTTAAATTAACCATTATCCAAAACCATGGCTTGGATCACTGTTAAAAATCCCGTTTTACTGTGCAGCAAAATAGCACACAACTTATACCTTGGATCACAAGCACTGAATACACTGTTAAAAATCAAGGTTTTACTCCAGCAACAAGACATACACGCCTCTACCCGGGAGAGAGAGGGAGGACACTGTGTTTAACTGAGTGGTAATTCTCTAACTTGGGCATTTCATTTCCCAGGGGAGCTGTGTCTCACACTTCACCAGTGGGCTGAGTACCCAGATCAACTTTCATTCCCTTATCAGTTACTCTCTCTCTCTCTCTCTCTCTCTCTGTATTGTTATAATGCAGGTTAACTGTGATTGTTTTGACACGTGACTGTGGTTTTGATTGGTGGGTGTTGGAAGCTGATTGGTTAATCGGTGTCACGTGACAGAAAAATATGGTTCACCTAGAAGCTCCCCAACTAGTATCAAGATATACATACCCACTGTGCATAATGTGACGGTGATTGTGATAAGGTACAAGTTACAAGACTTGGTGACATACCATGTAGATTATAAGATGTACTGATATAACACTAGGTATGTACGAGAGAGAGTTATTTAAAGTATGCAGCTCGCTTTGTAGTAACCACTACATTATTCATGTTATCAGTATAACAAGCGGGTATCACCACCTGTATCTACTCCCCAATTAGCAACCTCTGGCTACTGATACCAGACTATATGAAAGTATCCAGGTAATTATCCCTTATAAGGTAGCATGTGCGGACTTTAATCACCCAAACAGCCCCCAATTAGCGAGGGGCTGTATTGTCCGCTGTAGAGTCGGGGTACTGCCAGACTACTGAAAATCAATTCTCCTCCGTGTGATAGGTCACGTGTTTCAATCCCACCAATCAGAGGACAGGAGGAGTTGATCCCACCAATCAGGGAGGAGGGGGAAGTGCAGGGTGGTTGGAAATGTATCAATTACTTGCTCCATTGTATTGCACATCGTGTAGTATCTTGCACCTCAATATTTATACCACCACGGGACTGGTTATCAGACAGGATTCTTCAGCTGAGTTAGCTGTCAGACGTAACTCACAAGTTAGTGAGAGTATTGTAATGATAATATAAACCAGATAGGGTAACTACTAGTATAGAGTATGTACTGTTTAGTTAGAGTATAATAGAGGTCGTACCGTTTAGTTGGGGTCTAATAGATAGCTGTATTCTATAATAGAGGTCTAGTCTATTATAACCAGCGGGAACGTTGATCGGTGATCGCTGATAATGAGCTTTTGAGTTCCATCTTCTGTTATACCGAGCTAAGTTGAGAGATTGTCTGGCAAGTTCAAGATATCTGGCAAGTTCAAGATATGAGAGGTGAGAGCAAAGATGGCCTTTTTTGGAAATAATGATAAAAACAAGATGGTTAATCTTGAGTTAATTATATTGTTACAAGTTGCAACAATAAGATTAACTCAAGAGTCAAGACTGTCATATTCTTGCATTATTGTGTAACTGTGAGTTAGAGAATGTTAAAGAATAGACAGTACAAATTGTGAGTTTAGTTAGTGCGGGAGCTTATATTATTATGTCCCTTGGCCTTGTGAGGGATTGTACAGAAGATTATATCAACACTCCATGTCTTATTCATGATCTGATAAAATAAATGTGATAAAATGAATATGATAATATTTAGAGGTTCTAGAGAAAGTTCTAGAATAAACAGGAAACTGTAACTGCCAGATAGCGAGCTTGATAATTTAGGGGTCTAGAGTGTAGACTGTAGACGGAGGGTAATGTACCGTAGAAGGATGGAGCTCAGTATTTACTGTGTACCTTGATTTGAGAAATTAGGAGCCGTGTAATTGATACGTCATCACTCATACGTCATCACTCATACAGATCTTACTAGACCCAGTGTTTCTCCCCCTATAATATTATCACTATCTCTATTAATTGTACTGTTGACGACCCCCAATTTGTAGGTCTAACCCTTTACAATCGTCTTTCTAACTCACACTGTATCTCGTACATCTCAAATACAGGGAGAATAGAGTGTAATAACTAGCAGCAGCATTTTAAAGGATGAATAGTTGACTTTTGTTAAAAATTCAAAGGAGTCGGCTTTTAAAACAGACCAGCGTAGAGTAAGTTTGTAGCTGCTTGAAGCGGGTACATTTTAGTTATGATATTTTGTGTTTCTTTAATGAAGAAGTGGAGAAAGTTTGTCACAACATTAACACACTGTTTGAATCACATATTTAGAATCACACGTCATTTAGAATCACACACTTAGAATCATATTAAGAGTATGGAATTATCAACTTCTCAGAGTAGGTTTAAATGTTGCGATCATACGGTCATGCTCAGAGAGAGATAGAGAGAGAGATAGAGAGAGAGAGTTCTGTTGATCAGATTAGACAGTAATTATACCAAGTAGGGGTAAACCCTACTCTCCCTGCTCTAAATAGTTGTAATAGTCTAATCTCTATATCTTGCAACTGCACTGAACATTCTACAAACTTTCAGTCTGATCATGACAATGAAATGTGAGTGGTAGTGTTACGAGTGAGCTTGTTGTACTGGATGGTAAGCCATGTGAACTGTCTTCTAGTGAGCTGCTATGACCTGGTTTCTCTTGCTCGTCCTGCGCTCACGAGAAAAGTTCCCACAAATTAAAACTTTTTGACGAATGTTCTGTGGCTTATGATCTGCTCAGTTAAGAAACTTGACTAAAAATGGGATTCATTCCTAGGTTTTTATCCTGGGAAAGTCTGAAATACGCACTGATAAGTTTTCATGAATCTGGTGAAGCTAAAAATCTACCAATCAATGCTTCGTTCCTCCCCTTAAACT